GAATAGCTACAAGTATTTCATTTCATTTATAGATGACTTTTCCCAATACACTTGGTTTTACCCAATGCATTCACAAGAAGTTCCTAAGCTTGTGAAAGACTTTCAACGCATGATTTATACTTAGTTTCAAATAGAAATCCAAGTTTTTCAGTTGAACATGAAACATTTCAATAGAATAGGGTTGTGGAGAGAAAGAATCACCATCTCTTAGAAGTTTTTCAGGGGATGCTTCTATAGATGAATGTTCTGAGATTTTAGGTGGATGTTGTCATGACTAGTGCCTCTATTATCAACCGTATGTCATCTTGGTTATTGGAATATAAAACTCCTCATCAGCATCTCTTCCCTAAGGCTCCAATGCTTATTATTCTCATGCATGATTTTGGTTGTTATTGCTTTGTTCATGATTTGTCCCCTACCCCTGGTAAAATTGATCCTAAAGCTATTGTGTGTATTTTCTTGGATTACCCTCTCTATCCTTAGGGGGAGAGTAAGGTTGAGGAGAAACAGACTTCAGTGCTATTATTACCTTTTCTTCCTGATCCTCTTCCATTCTGTGTCTTTCGTAAACATCTTAAAAGCCAATGCCAGCAACATCCTTCAGTTGTGGAACAACCTGAAGCTGTGCTACCAGTGCCATCGAACTCACAAGGGTTGAATCCAGCCCTCATTTAGGTACCACTATTCCAATTGATATTCTCGAACCTATTAATATTGATACTTCAACTTTTGATCTAGACCTTCCTATTGCAAAAAGGAAAGGTCTCAAATCATGTACCACAAACCACCCAATGGTTCAGTTCTTATCTTATGAGAACATTTCACCCTCATTTTGTGCTTTCTTTTCAACCATTTATAATGTTCCCTTATTATTTCCTAAAAGGACAAATGCAATGAAGGAAGATTAATGCCTTATATAAGAATGGCATGCAGGAATTGGTAGACCTTCATGAAGGAAAGGAACCGGTGGGGTGCAAATGGGTGTTTTCTATGAAACACAAGGTAGATGGCACAGTGGAAAGATACAAGGCTCGCCTAGTAGCCAAGGGTTTTATATAGGTGTATAGAGTTGACTATGCAAAAACGTTTGCTCTAATGGCAAAGATGAACTCCATTCGGGTTCTCCTCTCTCTTTAGTAGCAAATCTGGATTGAAAACTCAATCAATTAGACATCAAAAATTCTTTCTTGGATGGTGATTTGGAGGCGGAGGTATACATTATTCAACCTCCTAGCTTTTGTGCTAAAGGCAGTGAACAAAATATTTGCGAGTTAAGGAAGTCTTTGTATGGCCTAAAACAATCATCAAGGGCTTGGTTTAGCAAATCCCATTAAGCAGTACAATAGATGGGTTTCACACAGTGCCAAACCGACTACAGACTCTTTGTAAAGAAGAAACAAGGGAAAATGACAACTTTAATAGTTTATGTGGATGATCCATTTGTTTTAAAGCTATAGGTCTACATTTTAGTAGTAAAGTTAAATATTGAAAATTTTCTTGATTAACTATTGAATCAACTACGCTTAATTCAATTGCATCTTGTTTTAAACTCATAAGAAGGCTTAGCTTCAGTTTTTTAGGGAAGGGTTTTGAAGTTAATTCATTTAGAGTTTAAAATTTTGAAGTTATACCTAAATCATCGCTTCTTTAATAAGACCATCAGTCCCAACAACGGTATACATAGGTGAAGGCTTTTATCTTTGAGATGGAGCTGAAGGTAATTTTAGCAATTGTTTTATTTGTGAGGAGCCAAAATAATTCTTTTTTTAGTATTTTGTTAGACTCTTTGGTAGCTATTAATTTTTTGAAAGGAGAATGACTCTATGCCCTTGATTGTATGACACTTGGTAGATATTATTTTGTTGAATTCTATGGGGATAAATAATTTTTATTACTATTTATAAACTTTCATTTTTTAACACACTCATACAATCTACGAGTCCAAATAAATTGACCCTTATATGTCAAACCCGTAAAATTATACGGGCCACTAAATTCAACTTGTTTATTACTTTAATTTAACCATTATTATTATTATTATTATTATTATTATTATTATTATTATTATTATTATTATTACTATTCTTCTTCTTCTTCTTCTTCTTCTTCTTATTATTATTATTATTATTATTATTATTATTATTATTATTATTCATTTATTTTAGTATTTAATTTGAATTTTTTGTTATATACTAATAATATTAACTAAAGGTCTGTTTGGTTTGCAAGAATGGGGGTCTGGAATTGGAATCGGAATGGGTTATTCCCATTCCAACTATTTGGTTGGGCGGAATCGGAATCTCATTCCCATTCCTGCTGGAATGGCATTCCCCCATTTGAGGGAATGGCCACTTTGCCCCTCCCTTGGAAATGAAATCCCATTCCTGCTGATTTTAATTTCCATTCCCATTCATGTCTGAACCAAACAGACTATGAGAATGGACCATTCTAATTCCGATTACGAAGGATTTCAATTCCAATTCCAACTACGAACCAAATAGACCCTAAATTTATAATTATTTAAATATTTACTTAAAATATTTTTTTCCAATCGAGTATAATTATTATATAATAAATTTGTTAATTCATATTTTGCATTTAAGGATAAACATTAATGATTTGGCTTAACAATTTTAATGACTGTTAATAAATATTAATTCTTATTTAATGTTTAATTACTGTTTATTATGGGGCATTCTTTGAGTAAACATTAATGATAACTGGTGATTATTATTTCGTTCTTTATTTGATTTAAGGTCCCAAGTCTGTAACCTACGCAATAATTATATTTGCATGGAAGTAGTGCATACATCATCACTTGGATTTGATGACATGGATGGATGGATTGTGGGGCCAACAATATGATTCCAACGTATCTAGATCTAGATCTCACATGTGATTTCAGTTGATTTTTGCAGCATGACATGACCCACAGGCCACAGCCACGGGTAAGGGTGTCAATGAACCGGTTTTGAATTGGACTCGTCCAATATAAAATCAATTTGGACAGATTGAATGGACTAATAAGACATATTAGATTGGACCAATCCGATCCAAAATATTTATTAGATTGGAGTGGATCTGATTCATCCGGAACAAATTTATATTGGATTGTGTTAGATTAAGCCAATATCTGATCCACTGATATAAGATAAAAATATATGTTTCAATGGATCAGGTTTGGGTTGAAAACCAATTTAAATCAAAATGAATTTGAACAAATTGAACGGTCTAGACATTGATTGGACTTGTCCAAATTGATCCAAAACATTCATTAGATTGAATTGGATCTGCTCTCACATAGAGCACCTCATACCGACCTCACAAACACATCCCACCAATCCACCATGCATTGACAACATCTCTCATACTTGTACGTTATTACTAATGAATGACCTCGTACTAAGTACGGGGAAGTTAATTATATATATATATATGAATAAACATAAATGATTTTTATTACCATTTTTTATTATTGTTTATAAATTGCCATTTTTTAAGACACTCATACAATCTACGGGTCCACATAAATTGACCCTTATATGTCAAACCCGTAAAATTATACAGTTCACTAAATTCAACTTGAACTGTTTATTACTTTAATTTAACCATTCTTATTCTTATTCTTATTAATTTATTTTAGTATTTATTTTAATTTTTTTGTTATATAGTAATAACATTAACTAAGGGTCCGTTTGGTTTGCAGGAATAGGGGTCTGGAATCGGAATCGGAATGAGTTATTCCCATTCCAACTGTTTGGTTGGGCAAAATCGGAATCTCATTCTCATTCCTGCTGGAATGGCATTCCCCCATTTGAGGGAATGGTCATTCTCTAACCCTCCCTTGGGAATGAAATCCCATTCCTACTGATTTTAATTTTCATTCTAATTCCTATCTAAACCAAACAGACTATGGGAATGGATCAATCCAATTCCGATTCTGAAGGATTTCTATTCCAATTCCAGTTACGAACCAAATGGATCCTAAATTTATAATTATTTAAATATTTACTTAAAATATTTTTTCCAATCGAGTATAATTATTATTAATTCATATTTTGCATTTAAGAATAAACATTAATGATATGGCTTAACAATTTTAATGACTGTTAATAAATAATGATTCTTATTTAAGGTTTAATTACTGTATCCAGTAATTATTATGGGGCATGCTTTGAATAAACATTACTGATAATTGATGACTGTTATTTCTTTTTTTATTATTTACATAATTAAGTACTTGATAATTGTTATTATTATTAATTATTTCTATAAATAATTGATTGTTATTATTATTTACTTAATTCAATAATTTTCAGCAAGTAATTATTTGAATTAATTTGAATTTTTTATTTTTTTAATTATTTATAATAGACATTTAGGTTAGGTTTTTTATTTAATTTAAGAGACTTACTAAACAATGACCCCATACTAAGTAAGGGGCAACTACAGTATCATTTAATTTGAAAGTTACTATTTAACAATAAAAAATCAATGTCCTATTGAGCAACTCATCCCCAAAAATGTATCAATAACTTTGAAATCATTAATCTATTTATAAAATAGTAAAATTAGATGGATGTTTACAACAATATCACTAATACTGTTTAATATTTAGGGATATATGAATGGATAAAAAGCATTTAAATGATATCTATTCAAAGAGGCAAATAAAGAAGAAAATCATTCAAATAACTGCTAAGAAAAACAATCCATGCCAAACAACATTTGCATATGCATCCATCCTCTGAGGTAAGAGATAAAAAATATATGACTGCAATCAAATCATCATCATGTATTGCTACAATCAACAAATAATATAATTATATGACTTCAAAGCCAATACAACAGAGGAAACATGAAAAAAAGGAGAATAATGTAATGTTGGGAGGCAATATCTCTCATGAATAATAACTTATAAGTATCGGGAGATATATGATAGGATATGCGTGTGAAAAGGCAGTAAAAATGCCTTCACAGTTACAGCACGCTTCCGGGATGTGGGGTGCGCTCCTTTCGTTTTTCTTTCCCACCTCCCATTTTCTGAGTTCGGCCACCTTTCGTCCTATAAATCTTTCTCTCTCACTCTCTCTGTTCTCATTATCGTTTGTTCTTCCTTGGGTTAATCTAAAGGGACGAAAGAGAGAGATCGTCAAGTCATGCTGCCATACCGGAGCTTACAGGAAGCAGAGTTAGCTCTCGGGAGAAAGCTGACATGGGCCGAGAAGCTATGGTTCAATTATTCTGCACAGAAGTCGGATTACTATCTATATTGCCACAACATTCTCTTCTTTTTCTTCTTCTTCTCTCTGGTTCCTCTGCCTTTGGTCCTCATGGAGCTTAAGTTTTCCAAGAACATTGGAAAGTATAAGCTGCAGCCCAAGGTCAGGCTGTCTTTCTCCGATATGGTCAGGTGCTACAGAGATGTAATGCGGTTGTTTGTTCTTACCATTGGTCCTCTGCAACTAGCTTCCTACCCCACTGTCAAGGTAATTGTCTTCACTGTTTATTATTTTTTCCTTTTTCCAATTGCAAGAAATTTGAGGTTTCCGAAAGGAAAATCGTTTCTTCTTGTTGGACTGGCTTTGTTATTGCGGTTGCAGTGGGTTGGGATTCGGACGGGTCTGCCATTGCCATCCGGGTGGGAGATTTTATTACAATTATTTGTGTATTTCATTATTGAGGATTATGGGAATTACTGGATCCATAGGTTCCTGCATAACAAATGGGGTTACGAGAAAATCCATCATGTCCACCATGAGTTCACAGCTCCAATTGGGTTTGCTGCTCCGTACGCTTACTGGGCTGAGATCTTGATCCTCGGCTTTCCCTCCTTTCTTGGGCCAGCTCTGGTTCCCGGGCATATAATCACCTTGTGGTTGTGGTTCATTATTCGGCAGGTCGAGGCTATTGAGACACACAGCGGGTACTATTTTCTGCTCCTCTCTCTCTCCCCTTTTAACCCTATGAGTTTAACTAATTTCCATGGAATGAAATGGTAATTGAAAGCGAGATTATGTTAATTTCTCTTTGTTCGCAGTTGTTAAGTGAAATTGGTTTCTAGAGGATCTTAATCATGGCTTTCCGGTTCCTGTTAAGAAATTATATGCAGAAGAAGAGTAGAGTAGAGAGAGGCATGGTTATTTAAGTGATATAGGTTAGTATGGATTTCTCTTCAATAAGCCAAACACAGCCTTAATATTAGATGGTGGGAGTAGAATGAGTCAAGTCATTTTTCTCACTCATATGAAACATTACAGACTGATTTTCTGAAACGGGTGTACTTAATACCAGTATGGCGTGGACCATGTAGGTTCAGACATGCGTTGGATTCAAACACGTAGTAGATTCTTGAGGGACACTTGTAAATAAAACGTTCCTTTTTCTCTTTCCTTGTTTCAGACAAGTATGTACATGTGTCCTATCAACTTTCAGACATTTTTTTTTTCTACAGATTTATAGACGACCATGTTTTAACAGATTTACTTCCCTCTAGTCTTTAGAAGTCCATGTTTTTTAGTCTTGCCGCCTACTCTAGGGGTGTTCACAGGTCGGGTTGGGTCGGTTTATTGGGGTTTTCCCAACCGACCCGACTTGGTCGGGTTACCTGAGGTGGAAATCGAAACCAACTCATTGATAGGCCAAACCGATCTAGTCGGTTTGAGTCGGGTTGGGTCGGTTTCGGTTTTGCTCCTGTATAAAAGGACACTTAATTGAATTCTAATTGTAATTGCCTAATGGGTTGCCTGTTGGTGTAAAAGATTATAGAAAGTTAAAAACTATGACAGATTGTCTATTCTAATTGTAATTGCCTAATGGGCCTTCTAGTTCTAGTAGAAAACTAGTTATAGTTAAGTAGGAAACTACTCAAACTAAAATCGAAACCGACCCGATATATCGGTTTATATATTTGTCCAACCCGAAACCGATCTGATATATCGGTTTATATATTTGCCCAACCCAAAACCGACTGATATTGATGAAAACCCAGCCAACTCAGATTGGGTCGGTCCAGGTTGGTCGGTTTGATCGAGTTGGGTATTCTTATCAACAGCCCTAGTCCTATCTACCCCCAACTGTTTGGGGTCGGGTATACAAGAGAAACCCAAAAGGAGAGCCTAAGCCTAAGATATTGAATTATGGGCCACTCTTGTATATAAATCTTTTGCACTTCCTGTGTGTTTCCAATGTGGGATTCTCTTTCGATTATCACTTCATGCATCTACTCATATACATATCCTAAGCTTTCATTGTTCTCTCTCTGTCTCCATGTTTGGTTGCGTTTGTGTTTGTGTGCATGCGAGAGAGAACACCTCGACTGACATGGCAGTTGAGGGGACTCTTTTTCTGTGAAACTTGTATGTAACTAAATAACCTTAAATATTTAGTATGATCAATTAGTATTTCATTGATTTATGTCTTCCTTTAGTATGCTTTCTTTTTCAACAATTCCCCATGGTTTATATAATATAAAAACACATCATTAAAAATATAAAAGATTAATACCTGCCGAGTGCCGAGTTCCAAATCCTATCTTTTGGGATCAACAAGTCCAACACCTCACCCATGAGCACAGGCTCGATAAATCATAAAATGGATTGCAGAATATATCCACAACGGAAGTGCAACATGTTCACAGCCAATTCTTAGTGAGTGTGTTAGCAATGGATTTGTGATGTGAATATTTCTCCTCTCAATCTCCAGCTAATCTCCAGCTCGGTACATGCTTGGTAACTCATTGTGACAATCAACTTGGTAAAGTTAAATACTATTCGTTGATTTACACATGCATGTATTCATTGATTTGGTCCCACTGATGTCAACGGGTCGGGTTTGCCTCAACCCTAATTCGACACTACAATGTCTCAACCCGAACCCGACCCAACCCCGCCTTAAAATACATGAGTTTCAAACCTGACTCAAGTCTAACCCGATACCGATCCGACCTGACCTGTAGCATTTCAATTGTATTTTTTTTAACACGTTTTGAAGATCTAAAATCTATTAATTTAAGTTAGGAAATTGTTTTATAAAATCTAAGATGTCACACTTCCCATTTAAAAAAATCAAAATCAACTCACAATTAAATCTTAAACTTTAAAATTATAGAGTTAGAAGTCAAAAAGTTACAATAATACTTTCTATACATGCATGGTATCATGATCCCTTACCGTGGGTGGGTTAAGCAAAATCCAAACTTGGTCCAAACCCGATTCGGGTTGAATAATCAGAACTCTAATCTGACCCTAAAGTCAAATATATTATATGGACTCTAACCCGACCCACTGACATCCCTAGGTCCCACGAAGGAGACTATCTAGGCCAGAACTCAAATTGACGGAAGACTACAGCTTTGATATTTAAGATCCAATATGATGCTCCATTAGTCTGTACTCTGTAGTATGGAACTTTTGATAAGTCTCCCATTTTGGTTCAAGCATTTTCCTAGCACATGAAGGGGCATCGCCCAACAATTGGCCCCTGTCTAGCCAAGGTCTTGAGACGGGTAGACAGGATGGGGTACTAATGAATGGGATCTTGATTATTTCCTAATCACTAGCAAAAACCAAAGTTTGATAAATTAATTATGTACTAGCTGCAATAAACTTTCTCAAGAGTAAAAGGTCATCAAATGTATTGGATGCCATCGAATTTTTATGTTGAATTTAATTCTCTGGTTTAACTTGTCTTTATAATAACTAGCGGAGGAGCCCCGCATTGCAGGGGCAAAACATGATAGTAAGTGGCTTGCCAAAGGTAAATTATTGTATAGGAAAAAAATTTGTGAAAGGTAAATTTTTTAAATAAAAGTTTATTGGAAATAATATCTATTTAAAATAAATAAAATTTTATGGATATTAATATGTTTAATTTAATAAAATAAAAAAATAAACAATTGCGACCATCAGGAAATAGAGTGAAAGAGGAGGAGATGACTTTTGTCATTGTATTTTTATTTTATATAGTGGAATAATTGTAAATAGTTAAATAATAATTAATTTAATTTAATAAATAAATAAATTTAGTAAAATAAATGAGATAAATAGACAATCAACTGAGAGAGTAAATATATACATGATTCTATGTCTTACTTTGCCAGCAATAATAATTTGTTAGATTACTAAATTATTAACTAATTAAATAATTTAGTAAAATAAATAATTAAATAAATAAAATTTTATGTATTATCAACACAAGATTGGTAAAGGCTATATCAAATTATTTAATTAATTAATTCAGCGTTGTTAGTGGGTCGAACTGAACTATCGGGCTACTGAGCCCATGAGCAAGCTTAGCCTAGTCTGTAGCCCAGCCTGGACTAAGACTTGACCTGCGAACCAGCCTTGGTCCGTGCAGGCTCAGGCTAAAATAAAATTTTAAGATCTTTTTTAATTTATGTTAAAATTTTCATTATTTTTTCAAAAATTTTAAAAAACATGGCTTAGCCTAGTTCGTGGCCCAGCCTGGCCTAAGACTTGGCCCACAGACCAGCCTGGCCCGTGGCACAACATGGGCCTGTGCGGGCTCGGGCTGTATATTATATACAATAATTATATAATATATTAATATATATATATATATAGCTTTATTTTCAATTTATTATTGCATATATAAATAATTGTACACATCAAAATTCATATAAAATATTATTTTAAGATCTTTTTAATTTTTTATCTATTTTATAATTTATAAAAACATGGCGTAGTCTACTTCGTGGCCCAATAATAGTTATATAATATATTAATATATATAATTTTATTTTCAAATGTATACATCAAAATTCATATAAAATAAAATTTTAAGATACTTTTTAAATTTTTGTCTATTTATTATAATTTATTATTTTTTTCAACATTTTTAAAAAACATGGCTTAGCCCGGTTTATGGCCCAGCCTGGCCTAAGACTTGGTCTGCGATACGGCATGGGCCGTGTGGGCTCGAGCCGTATATTATATACAATAGTTATATAATATATAATTTTATTATATAATTTCATTTTATTAATGCATATATAAACAATTGTATACATCAAATTCATATAAAATAAAATTTTAAGATCTTTTTTTAATTTTTTTCATCTATTTTTAATTTATGTTAACTTATTCATTATTTTTTGTCAAAATTTTTAAGAAACATGGATTAATCCGATTCATGGCCTGACATGGCCAAAGACTTGGCCCACGGCACAACATTGGCCTGCATGGGCTCAGGCCAAATACTATGCTGAGCCAACCCTCTAAAGTATCGTAGGGGAGGGAAGCATGGCCCGATTGTAAATAAAATGAGAGATAAACACATTTTTTAACAAATACGAAAAAGGCAAGAGTTTAGTAGAATCATTGTAAATAGTTAGCGATGGCACCATTGTAAATAATTATATCTTTAATATCAAATATGAAAGGGGAAAAGGAGAGAATAAGTTATGATTGTTTTTTGTTTTATTCGCATCATTGTAATTAATTAAATTTGTAACAATAATCATTAAAAACATGAACATGAAAAGATTATAAGATTATAAGATTTCATTTAGGTTATATAAAAAGAAAATATTCAATTTGGCAAATGCATAGCATCATAGTAATCCGCCATATAACCTTTTACTTTTAGGTTATATATATAGATTTGCATATAAAAGCTTGTCATTGTAATTGAAATGATGAAATCATTCCGTCATCAAGAGCAATTTCATAAGCTTTAGGTTGGTATCTTTCTTAAAACATAAAATGCTTTGTTTTTGTTAATAAGCTCTACTTATGAACTTATTTTGTTCTCATCGCTTCTGATGCAATATATATTCATATTGGTCAAAAGTGACATAGATTGAGAAGCTTCGTCTTCCTTTCCTTTTTCATCTGAATCTTTTTATGCAATCAAAATGCAGTCACCAAACTTTTTGCATCAAACACTGTTATGCAGGTATGACTTCCCCTGGAGCCCCTCAAAATATATCCCCTTCTATGGGGGAGCAGAGCACCATGATTACCATCATTTTGTTGGAGGCCAAAGCCACAGCAACTTTGCTTCAATATTCACCTACTGTGATTACATTTATGGAACTGACAAGGTTTGTTGATGAGAATATTCCATTTTCAGCCATACGTGTAGATCTTACATTAAAGCTATGTTTGGTTTGAAGGAAAAGGTAGGGGAAGGAAGGGAAAGACATGGAAACCTATACAAGGCTTGTATAGATTTCCCTATCTTTCCCTTCCTTCCCCTACCTTTTTCTTCAAACCAAACATAGCCTAAATGATAAAGCATCCTTTTATTGATTATTCTCCGATGTATTTTATCAGGGTTATCGATACCATAAGGAGACCCTCAAAATGGTAATGTGCTTCCCTCCTTTAGGCTTTATTGGGTGATTTGGGTGATCGGTATGTGTGTGTATATGCCTATGAAACCCACTTTATTGTTTTTGGTTTAGCGAGATGTTGTTCGTACTTTTATTCATTGTGTATGAATGGGTTTTATTAATCAAAAACTAAACAATAGAAACATATAAGAGTATATAATTGTTTTATATTTTAATTTTTTAAATAAATAATAATTATTTATATTTTATAAATAATTTTTTTATTTTTTTTGCAATAAAAAATAATAATAACTCATTTCAGTTAAGGTTGTTCATTAAACCGATCAAATCGACCAACTCAACCCAATTCAACCCAAGTTAGTATTTTCGATTAGTTTTGGTTCAACAATTTCCCAACCCGACCAGGTTGGATCATTTTCGATTTAGTCATTTGTAAATTGCCCAAAACCAAATTAACCTGACCATAGTATATATATACATACATATATATATATATATATATATATATATATATATATATATATATATATAATATAATTTTTTAATATGAGAAAGTAGGATAATTTCCATATTTCTTAATCTAAAATATTTTATATTGTAAATTTATTTTTTAATAATATCATTGTAATTTTTTAAATTTAAATCTCTTGAACTAACTAAAACAAACCAAAAATTGACGCAAACCGATACAACTCAAATTGGCCAGTTTTCACTAATGGTCAGTTGGTTTGGGTAATCAACTCAAGTTGAACCGACTCATGAGCCATCCTAATTTCAGCTAAATTAATAGTCCAATCTCTACTAAATAGCAATAGTTTAATCTTCAATGATTATTAAAAATTTATAGCAAAAACACACAATTATTAAAAATAAATTTATAGTGAAAATACAATAAATACAATGATTAAAAAAATATAATTAATATTAAAAATAAATTAAATTAGTCAATAAATAGTATAATCTCAAATAACAATAGTTTAATCTCCAATAATTATTGAAAATATATTTTTTACAGAAAAACAATAAATAATTACTGAACAATAAATATTAATTTTTGAGTATATAAATATATAATAAATATATATTAAGATTTTAAAGTTATTATCTTTTGAAAGTTATTTTCTAGAATTATTAATTGATATAAGTGAAATTAGGTTTTCAAAATATTATTTGGTTATTTAAATAATATCATTATTTATTTTGTTAAATATAAATTATTTATTGAATTTAATAATCCCTAAAATTAAAATTTATACTATTATTACATAATTTTGTTATTAATCTTGAAAAATATTAAATTGTTACTAATTTGAATATTATGAAATCTATTATCATTATTTTTCTACTTTTAAGAGATTTTTTTAAATTTATTAAATAATTTCGTTATTTTAACTATTTTAAAATTTTAGTTATTTAAATATCTAAATAAAATGTAACATATTTAAATTTTTTTTATTTGAATTTTATTTATTTTAAAGTTATTATGTAATATTAAATATTTTGTTATATGATTTTTATATATTTTTAATATTTTATTATTTAAAATATTTAGCTACTGAATTATTTAAACAATATTTTATTTTTTTTAATGTTAAATTTTTATTATTTGAATAACATTTAAATTGTATAATCCATAAAACTATAATTTATATTATTATTAAATCTATTATAATTATTTTTTGTGTTTTAGTAAATATGTTAAAGTTATCATATAATTTAGTTATAGCATTTAAATAATTCTTAAATTTTTAATTCAAACTATTATATATATATATATATAGATAGATAGATAGATAGATAGATAGATAGATAGATAGATAGATAGATAGAGAGAGAGAGAGAGAGAGAGAGAGAGAGAGAGATAAAAAATGAATGATATGATAAATAGGAATTTGACATAATATAGGAGAAAGTGGGGTATTGTGGTGCCACTTGACTAGACATTAGGAAAGCAAATCCCTCTTTCTTTATCTATTGGTTGTTAGAGATAATTTAGCCTATGTTGTTAAATTCCTTATTGGTTTAATCAACAATTATGTGAAAATAAAAATATGAAAAATTCAAAAAAAAAAAACAAACGATTATGAAGGTGGCAAGGAGAGGCATGGTGACGTGGATAACCTTGTTTCATATTATATAGAATAGATATGTATAATTTCAGGACGCACTATTCAACATGCTCCTCCTAAACATTATCACCTTGTAAATGGTCTAAGCATGCTTTTGTCAAAAATCATTAACTTGGTGAGTGACATGCTGACCTAGGTGGTTGACCTGTTGACAATGGTTTTTGGCCTTTTTTTTTAAAAATTTTTTAGCCTTTTTTTTATTTTTAAACTACAATGGGCCATCTGTTTGGACTGGATGGTTGAACCGCTGATTGGAAACCCGCAACCAAAACGGTTCCAGTGCTGGGTCGGTTTTAAAAACATTGAGCCTAAGAATATACTGCTGTTTAGAGAACTAAGGATGATTTTGCAACAGGATATACATAGATGAAATGTAGCTAAGGTGCTGGTGGTGGATACCAAACTCACTACAAAAGGATGGATCTTTTCACCAGAGTCAGCATATACCGTATTGCTTGGTTCCTCCCTCCTAACCAACTTTTTTTTTTTTCTTTGTAACCACAGCTGAAAGAGAAATGGAGTAGCAGCTCTGAACAAAATGGAAATGGGTATCAAATCTCGAACCAAGATCCCAAATCTGATTAGGCGGTGGAACTTCAGAAACTGTCTCCGAAACTTTCTCTTCCAATCTCTTATAACTCGAGTGTGGTGAGTGGGGATTATAGAGTGTTTTAGATATATACTGTAAAAAAAAAAAAAAATCATGTATTTAGTTGAAGCTTTTGTTATAAGTGGAGTTGTTAGTCAAACTCACGATGCATATCCCTAATTTCTGTTATAATCACGTTTCTACGTCAAAGTTTATATAAATCCGGATTGTGAGTTGTGTGATTACCTATTTCTATTTGAAGCGTTCTCACTATTGCAGACTTTCTGATTGTATTTGTCTAAAGAATTTTCTATTCTGTTTAACGTGTTTCGTAGATAAGGATATTATGATTCACGAGTATGTATAATAGTTGGCCCGTCTAGCTCAGTCGGTAGAGCGCAAGGCTCTTAACCCCTTGTGGTCGTGGGTTCGAGCCCCACGGTGGGCGCTTGGCATTTTTGCTCCTACACAGTCTACACCCGCCAAGCAAAGTAGAAAATGGCTGAATCAGTTTATTGACCCAATAAGCTGACTGCATATTCTCTCCCCACTTAAACGGGCTTCCTAGATACATCAGCGCTAAATTGGAAAAAATGGTGTTCCAGAAAATGTATGTTTGTTTGCAACTGTTTTTTCATAAAAAATGATGTTTCAAGTCACACCTTAAAAATCAAAAAGACATGGTTTAGAGCAATACTGAATTTGGCGTACAGTGATACATCAGCTGCGGAAAAGATAGTGTTCCAGAAAATGTATGTTTATTTGGAATAGGCATGGTTTAAAGCAATACAGAATTTGGCATTTTCTCATTTTGCATATCTTTGTTGTCAATAAAAACGTGATGTGGCAGTGACGTAGAGTTCATATAATGGGTACTAGTGCTGAAAATAGACATGATGCACCGATAACAAACAGAAAGTATTATTGTTGATCTAGAAAATGTTCTAGCTGACAATAACATTTTCAAACAGAAAAAAAAAAAAAAAAAAAACAATGTGATCTCTACACAACTGAGGGAGGGTAGCCCTACACAACTCCTCAATCCTGGTGAAGATATTTGATCCAAGTCGTCTCCTCTGCAATCAGCCAGAGAACATCATCTGACCAAAGCAAGATCTGAGCATAAAATAGAATGGATTACATAATAGAATTGAAGTCATAACAGAAAGCCGCTACAAATTAAAAACATAAAGCAGTGACTCGGTGAGGTTTTATTTAATGGAGGACCGGAAGGAAAACAAAAGTGGAGGCTGAGGCTACTGATAGCGGTGCTCAGGCGTAATGAGGCTTTCGACCACCACGGCCGCTGCCGCTCCCAATTCTGTTCCTGGGGTCGTTCCTGGTGTTGGCTTAAGGATCGCTGTAGTCGTCGGTGCGCGCTTTCAGGGATCTTCCCTCCACTACCACCACTAACTACATTTATTAGATTCATATTGGATTTACATCGAACACAATAACAACAAAAATAAAGCCTCGCCCAATTACATGGGCTTGGGATTAAGTATGCTAAATCTGTTGTAAAAAAAACATGGTTCTTAAAACCAGACCGGAAAAATTAGGAATTGATTCGTTTTACTCCAAAATTGTTTTTTGGCAAAAAATCATTAATTTGGTTAGTGAACCATTGACCCGGGTAGTTAAACAGTCAATCTGGATAATGGTTATTGGCCATTTTTTTAATTTTTTTTTCTATCAAAATGGTCGTTCGTTCGGACCAGACGATCGAACCATTTGACCCAGGAACCAGACCCCAAAACGGTTCCCTGTCTGGTCTAGTTTTAAAAACCTTGGTAAAAGATTGTGGCAATATTATATGAAAATTTAACACCCTGGTATAGCAATCTTCTACTTGTGCCAGTATTCTGATTTATTTTATTTATGTATTTTAAAAACATTTGCTTGCCATCCATTTTTTATGTTTAGATTTGTTATTTAATTTAAGATAATTAAATCAAGTTATATTTCTAAATAATAACTTACTTTATGGATCCTAATATTATTTGAAATGAGTTTTTGTTTTTTGGATAGATTATAAAGATCCCCGTAGAATGGGGTCAATGACAATCACCCTCTGAACTTTAAATTTGCAACAAACACTCCCTCTGTCAGAGTTCCATCAATTAACTTTGAAAAAGATTTTCATTCAGTTGTTTAAAATTTTTAAATCTCCAAACTACCCTTTTCTTATTTATTTGAATGAGTTATGATTCAATTAGTTTTCTAAATACAATATTGAATTCATCTCGGTTTCACTAATAGATCCTTGTAATTTCTAGCTGGATTCAATATTCTTATCAAATAGTAGAGGTTTATAGATATAAATTTAAGGTTTCATTTGGTTTTTTCTTGATTTATTGGAGAAAGAAGTGGACAATTTTTATATTTTAATATGAAGAGAGATACTCATGTTAGTGAAATGAAAAGAATTAAAAAAAAAACTTGTTTTTGTATGCCAATGAAATGATTCTTATTATTTTAGTTGGTTTCACTTGGAGGAAATAAAGGTATATTTGGGTCAATTAGGGTTTAAGAGAAAAGGGCAAGAAAAAGAAAATAAAGAATGTTTAGATAGGTATTTTAGTAATTTAATACATTAAGTCATCTAACTTAATGGACAAGGGGTATAAGCCATCAAGGGGTCTTTGATGTAAGTGAAAGTTCAGGGGGTAATTATAAATTATAATTTATAATTTACCAAGTTTTTTGAAAGTGGAGATAACTACCATTTGAGTGGGTAGACACATTTATGATAAATAAAGCTTTTGTTTGACAGTAAAAATAATCACTTTTGAGATACTCTTTCCTAAGAAAATAAGAAGCTCTCTAATTTGAAGGCTTTTTTTGCCGAATCGGGACACTATATTCTTTTCCAGAATTTGATTTCCTTTAGTCTCAATTTGTTTGCATTGGTACACATTCATGTATGGGAGTATAAACCATAGAGTAATAACTTTTTCCTTGGGTACACATACACTTTACTTTGCTTCAGATTTTATTTCTACTTCATTTACATTGCAAATAAGTAAGATAAATAAAACTGAAAACAAAAACAAACCAGGCTTTTCATTCATATTATTTATTTGAACTCCCATATTTATGAACTTATATATGAATGAAATTACATTGAAAACACAATAGGCCTAATTAGAATCTAGATACTAGAATGCAGTCTAAATGCTCTCCTCGTGACTGTGTGTGTGTTCCTTTGAAAAGGATAAAACTTTTTTCAACCATGGTATTAAAAATTGACTTAGAAATGGAACCATTCTGGGCATCAGTGTTTGGATCGACGGTTCGATCGTCCAGTTTGAATGAACCCTATTCTGATAAAAAAAATTAAAAATAGCCAAAACCACTAAACAGGTCAGTAGGTTGATAGTTCGATCGCCCGGATCAACGAATTGTTGACTGATTTAATGATTTTTTACCAGGAACCAGATTTGAGATAAATTTGAACCAGGTACCTGGACGGTTCCCGGGCCAAACAGTCCAACCATCTAGGCCAACAGAAGTTAAAAAATCGTGCTTTCAACTTTTATGTCCAAAACTTTCAAAATTTTATGCCACTTTTAGTTTAATACCTTGATCTTCTGTAAGACTGCTGTGCAGAGTGAGGCCATTGTAATTTGCCACATCCACTCCTGTCTTTGGAAGTATCCCAGTTGAGAGAGGACCTGCACCAAAAGTTGAGGATGATCAAATTAAGGTGCATGCACCCAAGATACTAGCTAGATACAATATTCGTTTGTCAAGGAAAATTTCAACATTAATTTGCAACATAAGACATATTTCATTATTAATTGGGCTGGCTAGGGTTGAAAATATTAACCAAACTTGTCTTTGGTTCTACGCTGAGACCGATTGGTCCAATACCCCATCCTTTGACAGCCCAACCTTTTGTTTTAATTAGGGATGATAATTTTTCCCATCCCCGATCCAATGAGGCCAGGTATGGGGATTGTTTTGGCGGGGCAGGGATGGGGATTAATAGGAATCCCCAATTGGAGTCAGGATCAGGGATGAGAATTCAGGTCCCCGCCTCGCCTCAACCCCAATTATATATATTAAATATACTATTATATTATATATATATATATAAACATATTTAAAATATTATTTATAATTTAAGTTTTTTATTTATTTTAAAAAATACTGAAAACATTTCGAGGATTCGGGTCTCTATAGGGAACACATCCCTGTCAAGGATCAATGATGGGGATGGGGGTTAATTTCAAAATCGGGGTCGAGAACAGGAAATATGATCCCCACCCCATTGCCATTCTTAGTTAACTTTCAAGTTTCAACCCTAAATGGCATGCATGGGTGGCATATTTTTTCATGAGTTGCAGTACAATTTTATTTACACTACTAAAAATACATGAGAGTGGAAATAAAAAAAATGCAAATTCTCGTTTGACTTTATTGGGTTTTATTTTATTCTATTTCATGTTTTAATTTACTTGATTTATAAGTGTAAACAAACAAAATAAACTAAATTTTGAAATAAATCAGAATTTACACTCAAATCATTTATACTGCTATAGTTTTGCACGAGTACAAATTTGTTTACATCGCAACCAAGAGCACGATGGCAGATCATCCATGCATCGTGCATGTCTGTTAATCATTGGACGGCCGAGATCATAACTCTCTCTATCACCAAGAAAAAGATTAGGAAAAAAAAAATGAAAATGTACCTGGAAGCAGGGAAATCGTGGCAAACGGGAACGAGAAGATAGCGTTGGTGGCATGGTGTTTTGATGTTTTCCATTTTTGGGTTGCGGTGTATTGTAAGAAAAAAAAGAGTTGACTAACGTTTTTTTCCTTCTTATTTACACGCGTTAGAACTTACAATAAGGAATATTCATTGGTCGAATCGATTCGGTTTGGTTGTAGGTTGTTTAGCAAATCGGGGCGGGTTTAAGGTGGGAATTATATTTTCTATTCCTGTTCCCGATTCTCATTGGGATAAAATTTGTTCTTCATCCCTAAAATTTTTTTAGATAACATTATTTATTTGAAAAATAAATTTACTTAAAATAAATAAAAATATGTTTTGATATATACATAATCGGGGTCGGGTCAAAGTAAGGCGGGGACCTCAATCCCCATCCCCATCCCCAACCCAATGGGGTTGGGGAAGTCGGGTCCCCATCGGGGATGGGGAAAATTTCCATCCCTACCCGAAACCTAATGCATCTTTGGTGAAAACTGGTCAATTTAGATTGTATTGGTTTGAATCGATTTTTGATTTATTAGTTGATTCAAAAGATTTGAA